AAAGCCCCCCCACTTTCTTTTTCTCGGGGCTGTTGTACCTATGCCTCTCCAAAATTCATCTTAGATTAGCCTTCCAAGAACTGTTGTTCCTGGATTCCAATCCCATCATCCTTCATTGTTGATATTCTGGCTAAGGCTTATGGAAGCTGAAACTCACATTTGGAGGGCCACAAGGTACCTGTCTCTGATCTAGCCCCAAACCTTGCTTCCCTCGCGATAATACCATACCCAACTGCAAATAAAAATCAGGCCCTTTTTTATTGCTAATCTTTCCTCTCCATCCATTGGATTACACCACCTTTTACTGCAGATATAACCTCCCCCCTGAAAGCAAATTTTCAGGTAAAATTCAGTGGCTGATCTAGAAAAACGTTTATGTTGTCATAAAAACTACACTCTTTTCAACTAATTGACCCACAACTCTAATTGCCCAAGCAGACAAAATTGCCTTTAGTGGCTGTCTAGAGGGGAATCTGTCCCGCCTTCCCCTCCGGAGGTTAATTACCTCCCCATCCTACCCCAGTTAGTTAATTAACCACACTGGATAATTACCTAGTTCTGCACAGACAACCACAGCTTAGCACTAAATGGCAATTTTAAGTATTTTGAAACTCTTGTCGGAACAAAAGACCTACTAGGGGTTTTAAAGACTGTGCCATTGTGATCACACCCCTTGGAGCTGAGGATTATTTGTTGCAGTTCCATGCCAGCCAAGAGACAGAGAACCTGTAAATTATTGTGTGGGACACCACATCCTTTGCTGCTTTGCAAATGTGAAAATGTCAGGTTGCCATTAAATAAAGCCGTGGTGGTGATTCAAATGGAGGACGTAAAACCTTCCTCATCGAAAGATTCTGGTTCTCTGACAGAGCACCTGTTTTGCCCATCGACGGTCTGGTTTAGCACCCTCCCTCAGCATCTCCAATTAAGAGGTTCAGATTGCAAGACATAAAAGAGAAGAAAACCAAAAGGAGGATCTTTTGTGGGCTGAGAATCTGGGGAACTGTTGGGTTTCTTTGAGTTTGCTTTCCCCCCCCCCACCCGTTTCATAGCCAGGATAGACAAGATCGTAAGTGCAAGCTGCACTTACAATCTGGGGAACCAGAATGAATGGCAAAATGGACCCACCATCTCACTGGATGTATGTCCATTCCTTATAACCCAAAGATATGGGCTGATAGCCAAAAGGGTACTTTAAGCACAAATGGGAAGCAGATGGTCCTGGTAGTGAAGCCAGCCTCTCTAGTTAGAAATAAGCAGCAGACAAGACGACCAAGCAGAGGTTCACCTTCTCTTTTGCAACTATCTTATAAAATATTGCAGCTTGAGTAAACTGCCCAGAGAACATTCCTAGGATCCTGTTTTATATATCCCAGCTCCAGGAATGCAGCTTTGTGGGAACACCTTCTCCTTGAGAGGTTTAATGGTATGTGGGAAAGACCTTGGGAGATGGGGGGAAGAGATGCTGCCAAGGGAACGGTCAGATAAGAGAGGGCATAGCCCGCAGCTAGATAGTGGGCAGGGGCAAGAGGCTCAGAAGGGACCCTCTTTAGTTCCTTGGGCTGTAAAGGTGACTGCAGAATTGTCCTTTCAGAATTGCAAGATTCTGTTAGTGTAGCTTTACAATAAAATAGTATTAGCTCGTCTAATTGTGTTCCCTGTCTGCTCTACCTAGTAAGGCCGATGGGGGAGATGGCTTAGAGGCCAAGCATGCTCTCTCAGTCAGGGGACACCAATTCCAGCCTCTAAAGATGTTGCTGAGCTATCACACCCACTCCCATCCCCACGGGCATAGCCAGTTGGAAATTGTATTTTGAGAACAGCTTGAGGGCTTCCCAATCTGCCCCCCCCCCCAATGGGGATCTAATTCTCTTTGCCAGCGTTCAAGGCTTCAGTCAATACTGCTCAGAATCATGTAGTCTAGAAACTTTAGCTATGCTAGTTGTTGGGAATGGCAACTCAACCCCTAGGAGGCTACTGGTTCCCAGAGGCTTTTGCGCTGCTCTGTTGCACCCCATTTTGGGGTGGACAAACTCTGATTGGAACAAAGGACCAGCAGTCTTGGCACCACATGTCCCCTTTCTGCTAAAACAGTCAGTCAGACTCAGAGGAAGAGTGTCAAGTCAATGGAAAGACCCCTTTGAAGCATCCTTTCAACGTGGATAGTCTTTTGGAATCCCTAGTTAAAATATCTCATGAAGGACAACCAATTCCCTGCCTCCCAGAATCAACCTCCCCATCTGACTCAAACATTTGCTCTGGGCAGTATTGCGAGGAGAGTTCCTGGATTGGCCCACCATGCCTCCAGATGGGAATTTTTGAGATCAGCCCCAGACTCCCAAGAAGGCATGTGAGAATGAGGCCAAGTATGCACGTCAGGGTTTTGCCCCAGGAGAGCTAGGACAAGATGGGAGGAAGGTGCTTCATGCCCCCAACTTTCATAGCACTTCCTCCAGAGTGTTGGGGGGGGGTCAATGGAGAGAGACCTGCCTAACAGCTGTCCCCCAATCTGATCTCCTCTGGGTGGGAACTGCAAGACCAACAAAATTAGGGGTTTGATTTGGAATGCTTCTCCAGAGTAACCATGAACCCCTCCGACTTCCAAATGCTTGGCACCTACACACCCTGTTTCCATCCTGATGCCCACACACAGGCATCCAGGGACAGAGACTGGCAGCTGTCTGGGGGATGAAGCAGCATACAGCGAAAGATGGGAAAGGTTGGGATCAGCTAAAAGAGTGCTCTGACACGCACTCGTATTCCTGCAGGGTGTGGGAATCATCTTCAAGACTAAAGTAAATTTGAAGCAGGACCTCTGAAATTTACCAAGGTCCAGGCAGAGGCAGCTGGAAGAGAAGTTAAAGCTTTCCCTTCCTCTCTGCAAAATTCAGGACAGTTCCCCAAACAACAGCCTGCGCAAAACGCTGTGCAGAATTTAACTCCCCTGCCATGACATGTTAGGGCTGGATTTAAGGCAGAAACCTGAGGCTTGCTTAGCAAGTGACTGCATGAAATCACCAACGGGGGCTTTTGCATGAAGCAAAATAAAATAAAAAGCCGGTCCAAAGTGGAAGCCATGAAATGGTTGTTAGGGGGCCAGAGAGTCCTGCTTGTTGTTCCCTAGAGCAACAAGTGGGACGTCCAGAGGCTAAGTTTTTCTAACTGCACTGCGGCTTCAATTGCTCTGGAATGCAGTGGAGCTCCCCATTCTGCCATGCTTAAATCTGCAGTGGGTTCTTCTGAGCTTCAGCAGGATACACAGAGCACATGCACGGGACGATAAAAAAGAGGCTTGCTGATTTCTGCAAATCATCCAGAAATCTACCATTTGCCTTTTTTGGTCCTAATTGCAGGATTGGCGTTTGCAGGCCAGTCATCGTTCACAATGGCATCAAAGATCCAGAGATCCCAAATGGGGTGGGATAACTTTCTCCCCTTTTATAAATCTTGTTCACCCCCCAGCTGCAGGAATAGGACTGTTCAATGAGGGGGGGGGGAACCTTTCAAATCTTATCTCCTGCTCCCAAGTGGGACGTTGTGGGACCGTTTTGTCCTCATTGCCTACTATTCAGAGATAGACTGCATCTGACTGTGGAGGTTTCATTTAGCCATCCATCCCCAGATGGATCCAGCTCTAAGAAACTATTTTAAACTGTGTTTTTTTTTCTAAATAAAAGTTTAGTGTAAATTTTGTTCTTATTTAAACACATAAGTCGCCTTGGAACGTTGGAATATAGGAATGGAGATAAAATAATAGGAAGCTTCCTTTGAGGGCCTCCAGCTGCTATGTGAACACTTTCCTTTTTAGGAAGGATTGAAACTTTTAGAGGCATAGTTGAATCCTGCAAGGTCTTTTTCATTTTTTCTCCTGTTCCCCTCCTCCTCAACTCACCCCCCCCACCTCCTTCATTTTGGTCTCGGGTGGTTTCTTTTCTGCAAAAAAGGGGATCATTTCCCTCCTGAATGAGCAAATTGGAGGACTCTCCCTTGCTCGGCTTAGCACCTGACATGTTGGCTAATTGTTTCGCTTTGCTGACCGCCGCTGGTTTGTTTTAGCTTCCTTTCACTGAGAGCTTCCATAGAATTTGGGGGAAACGTCTGCCCTCTGCCCACTTAAAACCTTGAGGGCTTGTAATTTTATAAAGCTCCCCCTTGCACCTCTTCCACCTTGAGTTATTCCCACTCCTTCTGCACCTTCATCCCTTCCATTCTCAACCTGTCTTTTCAGATGTTTTGGATTCTCTCCCTCACCAAACCCCAGCAGTATGGAGTTGGTAGTCCAGCAGATTGGAATTCCAGTCTGGCATATGGCCAAGCCGTGCTGGGAGCTGATGGCTGTGGAATCCCTCATATCCAGAGAGCTGCAAGGTGGAGAAGGCTGCCCTCATGGACGTGTCAATAGGAGAATTTTCATCATCACCAGCAACCCTGGCTAAAGGAGAGGGTGATGGGGGTTGCAATTTTTTTCCTCCTCCTGCTCAGATTTCTGGGTCATGAGATCTCCCCAAAAGTTACGATGAGATTGCTTGGTTTGATCAGTCCAAATTCTCCCTGTCACCATCAGCAGCCAGATTATCATGGGGAAATCCCACAAGCAGGGCGTGATGGAGGTCTCTCCAACCTCAGATACACTGTTTCTGATAACAAAAGCCCAATTTCCTGATCTCAAAGCTAACAGTTAGCTCAGTCCTTCAACTAAAGCTAAAGCAAGAGGACACCTCCACATATTGCTAGAGTAAATGTCATCCAACTGGACAGTGTAACGCAGAGAAAAACCCACGTTCTGCTGAAGAGATCCTTGCTGAAACCATGGCTCCGTTTGGCAGAACTCAGGGGCTGTCTTTTTGGGGATAAGAAAAGTCCTGCCAATCATGATCAGTCTGCCTTTGTTTCCCCCATCTGGGGCACCCCAATCAAGTGGTGAAAGGCACCGTCAGGGCTCAGAGGGGCTCCCATCAGAAAAGCAAAACCACCCAAGCCTGCTTCATTCTGCCACCTACCTTGGAGTGTCCATATAATTCTTCACTGTTGGAAAGAGTTGTGTTGAGGGCCTCTATGTATTGGTTAGGCTCCTTCAGTTTCTTCCGCTCTTTCTTGGCCACTGCAAGTGGGAAATTAGGGAATTCTTGGCATATCAGGATTGCCAGAACCAACCAACTCCAATATCGTCTCTTGCCTTTTGGGGACATCATCTTCAAGGTGGGGAAGGCAAGAGAGAAGCAACCTTCTAGAGGTGGAAATCAGATGGATCACCCGTGGAATGGTGGGGTTGCCTTTCCGTGGTCTCTTCTGGAAGCACAACCCAGCTTACTCCTAGTCACACCAAGCTAATCCCATTCACAAGCAACATGTAACCATCGCCAGCAATTTTGCTGTTCTGTCTTGGATAAAAGTCAGCCACACCAAAGCAACCCACACTGGGGAATCACTCCCCTCTGCCAGCAGGTCCTCAAAATGAAAACTCGAGCTCTGCCAGGTCAGAGCAGGAGGTCAGCTGGCAATTCCCGTTTCATCTCCTCGCCTGGCAAAAAGGCTGGAGGGTCAAGAGTTGCAGAACACGTGGAGGCCCCTTCAAAACAATGGCTGACCCAAACGTGAAGGACTGCTGAGGAGAGGAGAGGGAATCTCTTGCAGGGGGCCAAATTGGGCTCTTGCTAGTCTTTTCAATGCCACACGAGGTTTCCAAAGCTGTCTGCTCAAATCTACCCATACATCAGAAATTTGGCAAAGAGTTGCTTCCTTTACCGATGAAGAAAAGTCATATCCATGGATGTGCCACGTCCCAAGTCCACAATTTCCCGCTTATCAAAAAACAAAATAAGACAAAAACTCTCAAGGCCCTTCTTTCTGGCTGCCTGAATTCCTTTGGCACCTAAGAAACAATCTGACAATCATCCCCTTTCCCCCCCAAACCAGCTTTTCTCCTGAATCTTCTCTCCCCTCTCAGTGCACATTCCCAAGAAGTGTCCTATCTCTGGGTTCAGCCTTTGGCAGGGCTGGTTCTCAAAATTGCCAGCTCCTTGCTTCCTTGCCTGGCAGTTGCAGGCTGGCAGAAACCTCCCTGGAGTTCTACCGGAGCGAATAAATACAATTTTTGCGGGAGAGTTTTGCATCAACTTGAAAGGAAGGGGAGTGAAAAAGAGGAGAAAGGGAAAAAAGAGGGAGGGTAATTTGTACGGAGAGGGAGGGACCACATTCTAAAGAGCTGTCGAGGCTGGTCTTTTCACATTCCTATTAAGGGGAGACTGTTGGGAGAAGCAGACTCTTACCCATCTGTGCCAAAGAGATTTAAATCAGAAATGGCTTTTTCCCCGCCTGGGTCTTGTCTAGCCCTTTTCAGACCCTCTTCCTTTCCATCTTGCAAAGTTGCCTCTTTCTGGCCAATGCAGCGGTACCGTGTGCCTGTTAACCTCCAGATTTGCAAACAACGGCATCTAGCTTTTACAGGTGTACTTGTTGCATTTACAGGTCACCTTTGAAGGAACAGAAAATGCAAGGCAGCCTCCCGTTTTATCCTCGGAAGCCCCCCCAGCAAGGTAGGCTAGGCTGGGTGAAAGCCATACAGTGGCTTTCGCAGCCAAGGGAGCGTTTGAACTTGGATCTCTGCAGTCTTAGCCTATCGCCCTAAAGCACCGTATCACACTGGCAGTTCAATGCAAGGGCAGATTGTCATTCAGCTTAAAGCATGTGGGCAGATCACAATAATGAAGGGGGCTTCCTAGCTAAGATCCAACAACTCGCCCATATTTCTTTGTGAAGCTAGTCAACAATCTATTAAACATTACATCCACATATCCTCAGGAAAAGAATCCAATAGATTTGTGAAGCACCATATAGCAGGGGGTAAGCAACCACATTGTCTGCCCTGAACATAAGAACATTCCTAGAAAGATAGACTTTAGCCTAGTATTCTTGTTTTGCCTAGAAAGATACACATTACCCTAGTCTTTTTTTTTTTCCAACACAGGCAGTCCAATCCATCTCGATATGTTGAAATCCAACGCTTCTCCAGGACAAACAGAAGAGGCTGTTGGTCCCTCTGTTTTTTTCTAACCTTGCAGAAGACCCTTTGAGCAAAAGTGCTGTAGGATAGAACTGGTGGGTGCAATGTTAGATACTCAGGTTGGGTATCTATTCCCACAAGATACTCTATTCTGCACAAGGTTGAAGATTCAGTTCATGCTACATGTAAGGGAACCACCCCAATACGCACTCCCCAGACAAACTGTACCAAAACTTTTCAGTTTCGCCATGCTGGTTTTATGCAGAAAGCACAGCCTAATCATTTGAGATCCTCTGCTGAAATTCAAGAGCAAATCAGGGATTCGTAGAGCCCAATTATTAAAAGGTGGAGGAGAGAGAATTAGCATTTATTATTGTGAAAACATACAGAAGATAAAACCTTTTGCTCGCCTACTGCCAATCATCTGGGAATCTATTACCTAGACAACACTGCAAACCCTCATCCTTAGCCAGAGGGGTAACCTGCTGACTAATACAATTTGCTTATCGAGTCTTTAGTGAATTGGCTTCTTATATCAACAAGATTTCTAAGCCCTGGGATTGCAAAGTTAATTAGGTTGCTTTTTTTATTAGCCTGTTATGTTTTTACAAGTGTATTGTGTAAGGATTTGTATTTACTGCTTATCTTTGACATTTTGCTATTTCATTGCCTTTGAATTGGTTCCTTGCTACATCCTTGTTGAAAGGTCCACTATAATTACCCAGCAGATCAAGCTATTCCTTCCTTCCTGATTACATGCCCAGATCCATATAAACTGCAATATTGAAATCCTTTCCAAGCATCTCCCCAGTCAGGTGGGAGTGAGCGTCCAGATTCGGAGAATTTCACTTGACTAGTGGAAGCCCACTTTCCCATTCTGTCAAGGCCATTTTGAAGATAGCACGCCTGGATAGTTAAAACCTCCCCCAAACTTGCCCTAGTGCGAGACGTTTTAATTTGTGGATTCTTAAATGTATGCAGGAAGAGCTACCCGAAGGCAAAAAAATGGCAAAATACATTTTCTTTTTAAGTTTTCCAATTGGGGGGGGGGATTGTGGGCACAGCACCCATGTTGTGATGCCGAGTGCTCAAAAAGCTTGACTCCAGACATGCACGCAAGCTCTGCAATGTGAAGGGGGATAAGGAAGCTAGGAAGGAGCGTGTGAGAAACAGAAGGGAGTAAAACACAACCACAAGAAAGCCCGCCTTTGCTACGGTCTGCAGAACTGTCTGGGCTGTTGAGCTGCAATATGACAGATTGTCCTATTAACATGTCATCAAGTCCCCTGACAGATTCTCAGCCTGTCTGCAGCTAACCTGAGCAGGGCTTTAAGCGCAAGGCGACGCCAAAGCAAGTTAAATATTATTAACAAAGAATGGTTGCCGCATAGTTTGCCAGGAATGCAAGAGGGGTTTTTTGGGGGGGGGAGGGAGGAAAACAGAAGGAAAAAGATATGGTAGGAACAAAGATGGGCTATTAACTCTTTCATAGTTCTAGCAAGGTGCCGTTTTTTAAGCACTTACAGGATTTTGGTTGATTCAATCAGTATTGTTTCAAACCAACTCCTTGATGTTGATGTTGATGTCCTGGCCTGTCTCCTCCCTGAATTGTTTCCTTATATTTAGTCTTGGCAGGCAGGGCCATCTGCCAAACCTTACGGGGCCAGAAAGGGAGCAAGGTTGGTTGGTCTGCTTAGTATTTGGATGGGACACCACCAGGAAACCCCAAGGCTGCAGTCTAGACTGCAATGGCAAACTCGCTTCCACCCTGCTGCCAAGAAAACCCCACAGTTGCATCCACCTGAGGAAGTCTTCCTTTTCCTGAAAATGTAATTGTAAAAATTGATTTTCCCTTGTCCCCCCACCCCCCCTTTCTTTTTTGCAGCAGCTTTCAGATTCTAAGCCTGCAGGCCAGGACGACATTGTTCTCAATGTGGGCCTCCCTTATTTATACTCACACAACAAGAGGGGCTGTAGCCAAAGATTCCACTCAGTTCATCTCCAATAAATCAACTACTTGGACGAGATGACGGCTTTCCTGCCACTTGTCTAACGTCGGTGTCACAGTGACACCTCCTGGATAAATTACTGTATTACAGGGCAACTGCTTTGCAGTTGAAATGACCCATCTCCAGTTTGAAACAGCCAGGCGACGCGTGCACAAATAGGGTAAGAAGCCAACGGCTTCTCTATGTCTCAGGGTCATCTGTTCATCTTCTCGCTCTTATCTCAATCGAGCTGGATCCAAGCCCATCAAAGAACTCCAAAGCAAAGGCCTTCCTCTTCTGGCTGCTGTGTCGGCGGCCCAGAGCATACTTGATATAAAGCAGCTCCATTTCAGAGGGCCTTCCCAGATAGATGAACGATAAAGGCCCTTCACCTCAGTCCCTGCCGACTTCCCAGTTGCATTGGTGCAGTTTTCTTGGCAGCAACAGAAAGTGGGTCATCCCTGCTTTCTCCTGGGGTCTGTTTCAACTCCCCAGTCTGGTCCACTATACTTCTGGGAGTCCCCAGAGATTCTTCCTCCAAGCACTGAAACCACCATGCTTTGTTTCAGAAGATAAAGCCAGCAGATACTGCAACCTGTTCCCACGGCGATGATCTGTGCTCTTACTTGTCCCCAGCATCCCATATTTACAAGCTTCTGAATGCGAAGTTTCCATCTGTAACCATCACGACCCTAGTAGATCATACCCCCTCCCCCTAAACAAATCCCCCTATTTTGTTTGCAACAGCTGCCCATCAAAGCATCAAGAAACCTTGTTGTGAGGCCTTCAGGAAGTGGGGAGAAAGAATGTTCTTGTAAACAGTGTAGCTCTGTTTGGCCCCAATTCCCCCTCTATCATCTCTATAAATCTTGCCTAAATAAATATTTACTCCACCTGTAACAAGGCCCAAGTTTGTTCTCCGACTGCTGGGCAGATTCTAGGCACTACAGGATTCTTCTGCAATTGGCCAACCAAATATTCTTGGACCAAAAAAAAAAGGAAAGTTTCTCACCTGGTGTGGAACCCATGCAACATTCTCTTCCCCCCACTTAAAATTTTGCTCTTTTGGGGGTACTATAGAAAACACATCTAAACCTCCAATTGGCCATTTCCTTTCCCAGAATGCAGCCTGCATAAAGGAACAAGAGGGATGTGGACCCGCAAACAGTATTGCTAGGCAGTGACCATCTCCTTAAACATTTTAAACTTTGAAAGTAAAACAAAAAACAAAAACCCGCGCATTGAAAAAGCCGAGCCGCCAAGCGTGCTTCCTGAGAGGCTGCCATATTGTAATAATAAGGCTCCGAAGCAGTACAGGATTAATTCTAGTCACAGTTCCAGGCAAAACACCTGTTTTACCCAATCATCTTTTTTTCCCTACACAAATGACGAAGCTCAAACAGTTGCAGTCTTTTCTGGCAAGAGAGTTGCTCCAGCTGGCCCATTAATTCAAAAGCTCATTTAAAAACATCAAACCAGCCCCTTCATATTGGAGCCAAACACTGGCGTGCGAATCCAATTGATGCAGCTTACAAGCCACCACCCGCAGTTTAGCACAATGAGTGAACTCAGACAACGGTGATTTATTCAACAAACTATGGTTAAGCAAACCCAAGCTTAGCCCAATATGTGAACTAAGTCACATGCACTGAACAGGCCTCTTCCCCACCCCTTTAGGGTACTAAAAATGTGGCCTATGTGTCTTTTTCAAGTAGAAAGAAATGCCTTTGCATGAATATGTACATTAAGATCTCGTGACAACCGCAGGTGCAAAACATGGACAGAAGGCCAAGTTGAAAAAAAATTACAAACAAAATTTCATCAAAAGACAGGGGATGGGAGACTACCACACAATCCCTGAAGTATTTCTAAAAACGGAAATACATATTTTAAATCCGTCTCCCCAACAAGGTACCCCCCCATTTGTCCTAGATTACAACTCCCCCATCACCTGAATCCTGTTGCCCAGGGATGATGGGAGATGTAATCCAACATACTGACTGGCATACTGAGAAGGCTTTCTTAAATTACTCCCTATCATAGTCATCTCTCTCCCCCATTCATATGCTGACAATAAGGTTTATTTCATAAACGCTTGTTCACCAATAGAGCTATTTGGTGAGTTACAACTAAACCATACCTGTTTGCAGAGAAATTGGTCAAAAGCAGATATTCACTCATCATCTAAGTTAAACAGCTTATGGATTTAATTAATCCTTTCTGGTTGACTGTCCCCAATCCTCCCCAAGTATTCCAAACCATTCTGTAAAACTTAAAAAGTCAACATCTCCAATTAGTTTTGCATGTGGGTTTCAGAAAAAAAAAAACTATACAAAAAGGAGGAATAAAACCAGTAACTTCAAACATAACAAAAAGGAAGGAGAAATATCATCTTTAAAATACTTTTGAACAAAGGGAAAGCTTAAAAAGAAGTACGGGGCTCTTTCAACCTTGGCAATACCAATCTGCTTGGGGTGGGTGGGTCATAGTGGGAAAACTACATTAGGTGGGTTGGGTTTATCTTTCTTTCTGTGTTTGGCTATGGGAAGATTTTTTGCAATTGATTCGAACCATTCAGGCCGTTGGCGTGTCAGTAACTCCAACCCTGCCAGACCAGTTGGATGGACAGGACAATGCTACCAATCCCTCAGGCACAACTGTGAGGTTTCTTTCCCTGCCCCAGAATGGGGAGTGCTAAAAGTCCAGCTGTCCTGCTTAAGAATTACGCGGTGGGGTTTCATCACCTGCCAGAACATACATGTTTCACTTCTCCCATAAACACATACTTGCTAGGCTAAACCTGCCTCCCTGAGGTACTAGCTTTTGCCATGCAAGGAGTGACCCCTGCTTCAGAGAGACGCCTGCAAGCTGAGCTGATTTACTCCAGAGGAAGCTTACCACGAAGGCCAAAAACAGCCACAAGCTGGGGATCAAACAGCAAAGGAATTGGTTGAAAACTCCTTCCCAAACCACCCACTCTGGGCTTGGCTCTTTCATTTCCCTTTAGTGACACCTGGAGATGAATTACAAAACTGAGCATGATTGCAACCTGAAAACCACAAGTCATGAAACAGGGTCCTTTGGAAAGAAAAGAACACACAACACCAAACTTTTAAACCTTTTTTTTAAAAAAACGCTCATCAAAAGGCCAAGGGGAGCTGAACGGCTGTAGCCATTGAACCATTCTCTCTCTCTCTCTCTCTCTCTCTCTCTCTCTAAAGGGCAGCTGTGCAAGTTTCTCTTGGGCCAGAATTTTAAAAAAACTGTTCATTATTATGACAAGTTGGGCAAAGAATGCATCTGCTTTAAAACATATCACGCTACTCAGAAAAGGGCCTCTGACCATCATGATTGCCAGGGAGAGTGGAAAAAGTTTCTCTTTCATGAAACCCCAGGCTGCCTCCATTAGCACCAAAATTCCTATCTACAAGCCGTGGGGGGGCTTAGCGCCAATTAAAAGAGCAAAAGCATTACACTTGCCCTCACTTCAAACTTCACTTTAAAAAACAAACTGTAAGTCTCATTTTCCAGCACTGGCCAGCTTAATATGCAAAATGCTTCCTCGAGGATCTAGTTTTTATAGAAAAGTCTGCTCAGTCTCAGAACGTGTTCAGCAGCAAACACCAACATGTCAAGCGAGGCGATCCAAGGGGCTCTTAAGGAACAGGAGGGCTCCTTATTCCTCTACCCTGCTCCTCAGCTTTTCCTCTATGCACACAGATCTACCCAACCAGTACTAAAACAGGCAAGCGTTGCCCATGCTTTCCCACCTTTGCCCACCCATCTTCCCTATCGCCAAAAATCCCACATTGCCTCAAAGTGGATGCTTCTGGACAAGTTGCCAAGAGCTCCAAGGATGTTAGAACTGGTTCAGAGTGCACTGAAAAAAAAAATTAACACAGAAATTTTGTAGGCCAGTAACTTTAGATTTAAAAAAGGGATTTCTGTTTTCCTTCTTGGGAGGCTGTGGGTTTGTCCTCTTCCTTGCTCCATCCCAATCACATCCATTTCAATCCCAAATGGGGTTTTCCCTCCTCTCCCACAAAGCTAATTCCATGAGCCAAACCAGTAATTGAAAAAAAACCCTGTACACATCACAGCATTTAGCCCACAGTCAGGAGTGCGAGACCTAGAGTCCCAAATGTTTTGTTTGTTTCCTTCCTGCCACTACTGTTATTTTGGTCTCAGAACCCAGACTTTGGGAGGAGAAGGAGAAATCCAAAGGGTCTCACTCCTGCGCGATGCTCCTCAAGACGTACTTCACTGTATACGCAAAGGCCGCAAAGCCCACTATCACGAACAAGTTCGCCAAAGCTCCACCCAGGAGTCCATGGTGGCGGTTGGCTTGCTGGAGGCCAAGGGGGTTGTTGGCCGCAGCCAGAGGCGGGTGCCCGTTGAGAATCGGCAGGCCGTTCTGGCCGTGATGCGCTTCCCCGTCAGGGATTACATCCGGAAGCGGGAGAGTTGTTGGCCGGCTATGGAGTTCATCTCGTGCCTTCTGTTTCTGCTTGATTTCCTGGGAAGCCAAGGGGGCAGGAGAAGGAGCAGACAATAGGATGAGACCCAATGCCATGCAGGAATGTGCTTTCATTTAAGCAAACCGAGGTCAGTCCAAGATGGAGACTAGTCTAACCAACCCGGGTTTAAACTAGACCTTTTCAGCTTTCAGGTGGGAGGCTCCCACTTTTTCCAGCAAAAGCCAAGATCCTAGATTTTCTCTACGACAGGCTCTTTTTTACGCAGATGGGGAGAATCCAAGCCAGTGAGCCTCCCACTGTAGTCTGAAAGCCCAGGTTGATTGTTAGCATAATGCTTATGGGTAGGCCTGCAGAAGAGAAACTTTCTGGCCCTGTTTTGAGATGTCCATGTGCATCCTCTAAATGGGATTATTGCTCAGATCTCACAAATAAGCCACAGACACTACGATGAGACTGGAATGGGCTCAATATGTGATACAAAACAAACGTCTTAAGGCTCTTTCACAAGGATGGGCGAATATCTAGTTCAGGCAGCCAGCAACTGGTGCCCTGAAATCCAAGAACGATGGGGTGTAATTAAAAGAAAAAAAAGGTTGGAGATACAGCCCAGGGAAAAGACTAGCCTGTTACCTCCCCAAGGCTCTTGCTTACCTCCACCATGTCAGGAAACAGTTCACAAAAGACTTTGTCTTTTACGTTAAATTCTAAACTCTGGGAAGCCAGTTGCCTCTTCTGATGAAGCAAGAACAGAAGAGAACAGAAGAGAACAGAAGAGAAAGGTCAGTCTGGAACTAGCATTTGAATGGAAAAGAAATCAAGAGTCCCATATCTGCTTCTGGATGCCTTTGTGGGTGTCTTTTTTAACAGGCAGTGAACAAAAGGCAGTCCTCAGCAGAGACTTACCGTAAATTCTGTTGTTTCTATACTGCCCAGAGTGGGCCCTTTTTCAACCATAAAACTAAGAAGGCCTGTCAAGATTGTGGAGACTGACCAAGCCGGGTTCCATGTGTCAGGGTGGAAATCAGTGATGGAAAGACATAACCTATAGAAAAAAGCAGAGAGACAGCAGTTTCATCACAGCGGAGACACAGAGTGTTCCAGGGCAAGATCTCTTTTGACGCAACGAATGCTTCCACTGTTCTTAACCACATTAAGCAGAATCTGAGATTCCTTCCCTGGATTGTCACTGCAGGCCTGGGAGAAAGCCTTAGTGAAACTTAAGAGCGCTTCCAGAGGTCTCTGAACTACACCTCCCAGCATCTTTCTCCTGCTTAAGGGACCGCTGGGAGATATGGGGGAGCAAAACAAGTGGCAAAAGGAAGTGAAGACCAACATACATCCAAGATAACTGAGAATGAGCAAGGGCTGAAGCAAACATGCTGAAAGTGAAGATGCTGCTTCACTTCAGAACATGGCACCGTGAGGTCAGGACATCTCTGGTAAAATATTTCTCATATTCTTAACACCAAGAGGGCTGAAAGAGATACTTTCAGAGTCACTGGCCAGGAAAAAAACAGGGAGCCTCCAGCAAAGATCTTACCTTGTATTGCATTTAAATCTTCCATTTGGTGTTATCATATAAATACTAGGAGGTTTAAAAGGAAATTCTCTGGGGAAAATTAACTTCCCGTGGTAATAGCCACCTAAAACAGGAACAGCGGAAAAAGAAAACCTTTTTTTAAATTTCACAGCAAAACATTTGTGTCAGTCCCCTGAGAAGCCACATTGTCCAAAGGAGTTACAGGGTTTGAGGAGAAAACTTGTGAATTTAACTGTGGGGGCCTTTTTGCTACATGCAACTTGATGAAAAGAAGAAAGTTGTTTGAAATATGCAGGTGAGATTAAAACAAGTCCTGCCTGGTGAGCTATTCCTACCATCTCCTTTATCCTCCTAGGATGCTGCCACTTCTAGATTCCGGCCCTTGGCCCTTTTATTTTCTCATCAAGCATCTGAACCTCCCCTGGTATTTACAAACAGTCCTGGAACTAAATTCTAGAAGTTGATGCTTGGCAGACCAGCTACGTACATACAAACACGCATGAATATAAAAATATCAAACCAGGTGGTACGGGAAGCAAGAACAGGGGGGAAAAAGCCATAGAGGTCTGTTCCCAAGCAAGACTAAAACACGTGGATGATGTTCCCAACAGAAAGCTTCCTCCTCATGTTTAGGTTGAGTTTACTCTGCCACCAAGCTATGACTTACCTTCATACGGTGTCATTTCAGGTCCTCGTACAACATAATGCCTACAAAAATAAAGGAAACATGGGTTACACAAGTCAAGTTTCCAATTAGAAGTGAGGAAAAAGAGAACCTGTTCTTTCAGCGGATGTCCAGATGGAAATCTGGTCTGTATGCCTGAGGCCCACTGATAAGATTTTGTTGCATCAGAACCTTATTTCTAAATTGCAATTCCATTGCTGACTGCTATTTTCTCACGTCTGTTACTTAGTTTTTGGGGAGATATTTCTTCTGGGTCGATCTGCAGATTTAGCTGCAGATTTCACTGTTAGTGGACTTGGGAGTTTGTCACAGAAAGGAAGAGATGTTTTAAAAAGACCTTGGTAAATAATCCTCCAATTCCCAACCGCCGTACAACTACGAGGCAGCTGATGAGACTGTGTGAAAAGTGAGCCAGATCATGACTTCAGCCTGCAGAGAATTGCCTTTCCACTCTTGTCCTGCTGAATCTCTGGTGCCTTCCAAGCTCAGCCCCCCCATTCTTACCACTCAAGGATATTGGATGGCAAAGGCTCAGCACAAATATAAGGCACTGGATCTTTT